CAGAACACTGCTTCGCCAACCCCTTCACCTAGCAAGCAAGACCTGCTCGGTTGACACACTTGCCAGTCCTCAGTCTGACGAGCTTGCGGGCTCTCAGGAAGTTCTGCATCTTCCTGCCCTGGCTGCTCCTGGCTGCAGTCAACGCGATAGAAAGCTGTGTTGCGGACTGCAGATGCAGTGTAGCTTGCTGTTGGAATTTCTTTCGAACCCATCATTCTCAACAACAGGGGGGCACTTTTGATTCGGTTCACCTTCCCCTTGGTGCAGCAGCTCCACACATACTTTAGTTCAAATGATATGCTTGATCTGGTAGTGTACTTGTGTCATGTACACTGTATACTCCCACATTTCAGCTTCCTGTGACAGCGGCCGCCCGTCCTGCGTGGAGGAGCCTGGCAGGATGTCTCCAAGGAAGGCATGGGGATTGAAAGTGCTTTGTATCTATCTAGAGTCTTTTCATGAACAGCCGGATGAAAATAGGGCCTTTTACTCATTCATAAAGATTTGAAGAATCCGAAGAAGGACCCCTGCCTCCCTCCGCCAAATTGGCCAAGTTTGCGGCCACCGCCTCTTGCGCTGCAAATGGCGGCGCTAAAGGCCTTAGCTCCAAGCGCTGTAACACTGTAGAAAAGGGTGTTCCCTTCAGTTCTCTTTGCAACATGGCAAAAACGTGACCTACACGAGTCGGTTTAGTGAAAGGAACATTATAAATTCTCTCTTTCCTGTAGGTATGATGATGTACCTTCTCCAACAACCGCTGTTGCCTCTTGGGCTGCCCGCGGGCCAGACTTCGAGAAACCGATTCGCTGTCCTCCAGGTGACTTGTGTTTGTTAAACACAACAAGAACGAACTCTGAGGAGTCTCACCCACCAACAGAACCTGAGTGAACAGAAACCTCTCGTTGGACCAGCGCTCGAGAAATGGAATTGTCCTTGCGCTCGCCGCGCGGATTGCAATGCTGCCACAAAGCTTTTGACCTGGCCATGACTCCCATGACCATAAAACGTGGTACTACAGAGACTAAAGAAAGCACAAGCAAAAAGAAAAAATAGAGAAACCAAACCACCCTTCTGACATGCCAAAAGTTTGGGTCGCCAGACAGGTTCGGATGGAAATCAACCATTGGTTGGCAACCATGAATTGCGGCCCCTGGAAGAAAGACAGAGCGCCTTCTGGGCACCATCTGCAAAGTAGAGAACCTCGTATCTTCATACCCTGTTTGAAGGCCCCGTTCAATACCATGGCGATTGAAATTTGAAATATTGTTCTATAGGTTTGCTAAGTCAGGTCTAGTAGTCTAGTAAGTACACTGTTCTGTGAAGGATGCACACTTTCCAAAATGAAGCTACTTCATCTTGTGAACGCCAGGATACTTTATTTGCAGCATTCGTTTGGTGCTTCACTGCCTACAAGTATGGTGGGCTGCCCGGCCATCCATGGCTCAAGAGCTTTCGAGGAGTCCTGGCTCAAAGCCTTCTGCATAAGCTTAGTAAACAGGAAGTGAGGCTTTTTACACGATCTTGGATTGTGTTAGCAAACATCTAAAAAGTCAAGCATGGCATGACTCAAATCCCCACGTGCCACAGGCATGATCCGGATGCACAAGCAAGAAAGCCCAAGAACCTGGGGCTCTGTAGGATGGTATCCCATGTCACGTCTTCCCCCCTCTCTTTTGGTCGTCTGTTTCATGTCTTTATGGCACGCAAAGTGGACAAACCATTGGTCTCGGTCGACGCAAATATGCATGAGATTAAAGGTAAATATATAGCACAAGGATGCATACATTCCAAGATCCTCCTGGATTCATGTTGCAACCGTCCTGTTGGGCTTCCTTGTCGACAATATGGAAATGGGCCGTCTGCGGCATATTTTTCTTGGAAGTCACCTCGACCATTCTCGAATCAATGTCAAGAAAGCGGGGCCAACAAGGGCCTATGAGCAACAGTGATATGCTTGCTGCTTGCAAGCCTGGCTTGTAAACAATCTGCATTTGGGTGTGTATTAAACTTAGGGAGACCCCAAAAAAAAACCTGGAAGAAGGGAAAAATAGTTCAAAACCCATGTCTGGCAGCTTGCATGACTCCATTGGGCTGTAGACCGAGCGGAGGCTTTCTGTCGCTTAAACAGGAAAGGACAGGAAGAAGTTCTCAAACTCTCAGAAGTACAAAACATGCGCCTTGACCACTTGCTGAACCTCAGCACGATCACAAACACTCTCCAAGCCATAAAAACAGCAGTTTCGCCCTATTCTCAACCTAACCGATGATGGCTCTTTTGGTTTGCAGATACCTACAGGTCACATACCTACATGATTTGCCCCTGACGATACTTCAAGGATCTTCATTCTATCAAGTCGCACAGCACAAAAACTTGTCACTCCGTTGGTGGCATGGTGCACATGTCTTTGCTTGCGAATATGGTGTTTGGAAATGCACAGCTGGTGACAAGGGGCGCCAATCCTGACCAGAACGTACAGCTCCTCATGCAAAGGCATAGCACCTCAGTTGGGCTGATTCCACGATGTCGAATTCTCTAAAGCAAGCAGCTTGGCTGGGAGTTGGCGCTTCTCACCAGAAACGAAAAGCACTTCTGAGCCTTACACAGAGTAGCTGTCCGTTGTGAATGGCCAGAACACTCTGGCAGCCTTGCCATCCTGACGATGGTTGAAAACGCCTTGCATTGAGCACATTTGAGCTCCAATTTCTGACGCTCGTCGCTGTACCACGTCAGGTCCCCTTGACCTACCGGCGTAAGAATGCTTCTTGGCCAGCGCCTGCATCAGGAAGGGCTGGATGCTGAAGAGGAGGCCTGTCCATTCAAGCCAATTCAAGCTCGCTTTTAGTTGAGAAACTTGGCGCTGGATGGATAGTTGGCAAAACATGAACATAAATCAAAGACCTTATAGACATACAGTAAGTCTAAGTATCACGATCCTCGAGAATTGATGGCACAGAGTGGTTCCAAAACACTTGGCAAGTCAAGGGCAATGGCGAGTCAAATTCCAGAGGTCCAGAGGTGTGTGGCCGCTGAGACACTGTGCGCTCCGAAGAAATAGCACCAGCATCACCAGAATCACCAAGCCACCCCCGGGGTCGTGGCACTTGAAGGGTACGAGCTCAGAAATTGAAGGGCACTGAAAAACCCACCTTCAGCATGCCAGCATGCTCCAACTACACGACATGACACCAGCCGTATACAGAAGTTTAAGTCATCTGCATCCCACTGGATTCATTCGAAGCATGTGGGCAGTTCCGGCTACAAAGATTTGGGCATGTTCGCCTGACAACAAGAGCGACGCAGTTGTCATAGTGCCATTGAGAGGTAGACTGCAGATCCTGAGGAGGTCAAATCTGCTTGTGGAAGCTGCTACTGCTATCAACTCTCAACCAAATCAGCAGGACAGTAAGGACGCTACTAGGGACTCCTGGCCTTACTACTAGGAGCAAGGACGCTACTAGGGGCTCCTGGCATCGCTACTAGGAGCAAGAAGCTCACTACTAGGAGCAAGGACGCTATTAGGGGCTCCTGGCCTTACTAGTAGTAACAAGAAGCTACTAGGAACAAGTGCCTTACTAGTAGAAACAAGTGCCACGCTACTAGGAGCTCCTTTTGGGGCTCCCAAAACTGCAGGACGATCCAACTCGGACGGCCCAACACATTCATCCCACGATCCCGTCGCTTGCGTCCTTGCTCCTAGTAGCGTGGCACTTGTTACTACTAGTAAGGCACCTGTTACTACTAGCGATGCACTTGTTCCTAGTAGCTTCTTGTTACTACCACGTCCTGTCGAAGTCGCGGCAACAGATTCATCTCCACGCTCGGTGACCTGGCACAGATCACGAGTGGTGTGTCGGCCTCGAACTCGTCCGGACAGAGCTTGAACACATTTGCTCCTTCAGGACCTGATGACCTATACTAATACCAACTGCCCACGAAAAAGGCATACATGGAGTGGCTCGAATGATCAGTGGAGTGATTCAAAGCATTTTATTGACGAAAGCTGCTTGGTCAGCAGGCAGGCCCAGTGACGAAAAAATTGCTCCCCAACACATCGGCAGGATGGCCAATTTCCAGGCCGGTCGATCAGCTTGGGAGGCAACGCCAAGGCCTCAAAAGACTCATGAGTCCCGTCGCTTTCGATCCACTGAAAACAGATCTAGGACAAACCAGGTCTGGCTTTCAAACAGTCAACATCAGTCAACTACTGTGCACAGCTTCTCTGACAGCTTCCAATCGTTTCCAAGCACAAGACAGTTTGAGAAGGCTGAGATGGAGCATTTGCTTCAGCTCCTGGGAGTCCGGCTAGGCAGCATGTTGGCGACACTCTCAAACAAGAATGCGGTAGGTCCTAGTGGTTTGCCCAAGAACCCAAAACAACAAATAACGCACTGGAGCCATCGTCCACGTCTCCTTCGTTTCTGCCACCGTCCCGCTTCACGGACAGGTTGGCCCTGGGCTCCAGGAGTTCGATATAGTTTCAGGCAATGAAGGACCCGGGTGCTGCAGAATCTGCAGAATGCCCAGCACAATAGAACAAAGTGCATACGTGGAAAGAAAAAAATGCCTTGCTACTTGCTGTTTCCATGTGCTCCCTATGAATCGACATCATGCAAGAAACAAAAATGTGCGAGCCGGCTTTGGTGGCAAAGTAAAGCAGCCAACAATGGACACATGTCTGTACTTGGCTTTAGGTCAAGGCTGTACAGACTCAGGAAATGCAAATTCTGTCAGCACAAACCTCCAAAGACCCTTTGGAAGAAGGAAAATAGACCAGAAGCCATTCCCTATCAAGATACACACCCCATCTAAATTGAAAGGCATGCAGTTTCGGTCGGCGACACGTGTCTGCTTCTTCTGGCAAGGGCGGAGTTTCAACTCAATGCCCGCCAACCCACAGAACAGAGAGGAGAGGTGCGTTTTTTGAGTGTACGACGTGAACTTGGCATTCGAGCAGCAGCAACAGCAGCAACAGCAGCACCAGCACCAGCACAAACAGGACCTTCAAAGCGACCGCCACACCAACCAACCAATCAACCAACCAACCAGCCAGCCAGCCAACCAACCAACCAAGCAAGCAAGCAAGCAACCAAGCAAGCAAGCAACCACCCACCCAGCCAGCCAGCCAGCCAAGCAAAGGAAAGGAAAGCAAAGCAAAGCAAGCAAGCAACTAACACAGTACGAAGAAAGAAAAGAAAAGAAAAGAACCTACCACACTACATCTATATCAAGGACAAACACAAACGAAATGTGTGAATGCAAGACTTGAGACGAGAGTTTCAAGACGGAGGAGAGCACCAGAAATGTGCTTCTACCACCACCAACTGAAGTCCGCTGATGTCGAGAATAGAGGGAGAAACCAGCTGGCTGAAGCATGAAGGAGTCGATGAAGAGATTAATTAGGTGGCATCTTCGTCCCGACGCCTTGAACGTCACGTCCCACGCTGAGTGGCTGACAGCACGGAAGAAAGGCCAGAGGAGAACTTCTTTGCTGCGCCTTCAGCCGCAGCTGCCGCCGCTGCCGCGCCTCCAGCTCGTATCGGCTAAACGTTTGCAAGGTCAAGTTCCAGCAATTTGCTGGAATTTGTAGGTAATCTTCCCCTGCTCCAATGGGCATCAGGCTCTCTCTAGCTATATGGCTATACATCTAGCAAACCCATAGCAGTTGCCATGATTGAATCTGGCCTTCGGCGATTGATGCTGCTGAAAGCCCTTTCGACCTGCCAGCTGAGAGCCCTTTGCATTCACTTGGTGCGAATACCTTATCAAAAGGAGTCTTTCAGCAAAGCAAAAACGTAGTCACAAAGTTTCGCTCTCACAGATGTGGGTCCACACTGAGTGACCAAAACCAGCCAATGACATGTTAATCTTGCCTCAGGACACCATCCAGTGCGCCAATGGGTGGCTTCCAGCGCTCTTGCTGCACAATGTCATAGTGGTGCTTCTGCGCGAACTTCAAAACGGCCTTCATGTCAAGGCAGGCGGCAGGAGGAGTCAGGGACAACTTACAGTTGCTTGTATGGTGCGGTGCCCTGCTGACCTCAAAGCCGCCGCTGGCCACAGAGATGTGTCGCAGACCAAGCTCAGTGGAAGTGAGGACCTGCCAAATTGGTCAACTAACCCATTGTACAGATTATACATATATATCCGCCGACCCCGGCCTATAGCCAAAGCCTAGGCGGGGAGGCGCCTGGGACACCGCAGGGTGAAGCAGTTGGCCAAGCCTAGCAGAACCCTTCCAAGCACTTCCAAAGGCCTGTCCGAGGCCTCGCCAGCTGGCAGGCCTGCTGCGGCCTCTCTGTGGCCTGTCCGAAGCCTGCCTCTCTCGGCAGCTGGCAGGCCTGTTGCGGCCTCTCTGTGGCCTGTCCGAAGCCTGCCTCCTCTCTTCTTATGGGCTTCCGAAGGCGACGTTAGGCATTTTGGACCGCCTTCAAAC